GGAAGTTATATCAGTGATTCTCACTCCTACCTGCATGCTCGGCCAGTGTTTACAGCTAAGGGATGGAACACACACTGCACTCACTGTACAATTCACAATCCCTCTTCCCTCTGGCAACTACTAAACCTTGCCCAAGGCATGAGGCGAGGTGCAATAAGAATAATTGGCTAACGCACGGGCTGCCCGTGCGAAGATGCGTTTTTTGCATACTTCCCCGCAGTTTTTATCGCTACCGGCATCGGTTTTTTCAGCAAATACTTCTAGCTAAATAAATTCAGACTGGCCGCCAGAACTGGCAGGAAACACCCCCTTAAAATTTCGGCTTTCCAGCTTTCCCGGCTCCTGAGTTAGCAACTTACTGGAAAAAAAACTTTCGCTGGTCCGCACATGGGTACCACGCATATCCGATGTCTGGGATTGAGCTCGCTGAAACTTACTTAGATGGGGAAAATCCTTTTACTTGGATACAGTCTTCTAGCTTTTCAGGTTCTCGAGTTAGCAACTTACCCGAGAAGAACTTTGGTGAGCCCGTACGTGGGTATCACGCACATCCGGAGGCTGGGTTTGAGCTCAATAGTACCTACCTGGATGGGAAATATCCTCTTAAGATTTCAGCCCCCAAACATTCTTCGTTCCCGAGTTAGCAGCCTACTCGTAAAAAACTTTAGCGGGCTCTTACGTGGGTATCACGCGCGTAAGACCGCCCATTTTGGGGATGAGGCCCGTAAGTGGATGTAGATTAAGGTCCCAAAGTTTCAGCCCCGTAGTTCTTGTGGGTCTTGAGATGAAAAATCGGCACAAAGGCCCTGCGCACACACAGACAACCTCTCGTCAATATGCATTTTCCGCACTGCAGAGCTGCAAAAAACGCATAAAAAGGCAGAGGAAGGAGTGGGAGGTAGAATGAAGGAAGCGAACGGGAAGGAATAAGGACCACGAAAGAGGTGATTTAGGTCTCGAAATTCAAAGGAGAGGGGGTTGTTGACTGGAAAGGAGCTGAGATCTTGCTTGAAAGTAGGAACTGGAAACAGCGGCGGTATTTCATGATAAAGAACGGAACCTGTACAAAACTTGATGCTGAGAGGAAACTGCCAGCCTTGAACGTTACATCATCTAGGACCCAATTTGGACAAAAAACCCCACCACTAA